AGGCCAGCCTGGACTACCAAGTGAGTTCCAGGAAAGGTGCAAAGCTACACAGAGAAACCCTGTCTCGAAAAACCAAAAAAATAAAAATAAAAATAAAAATAAAAAATAAAAAAAATTGGATATCAATAAAATCAGTCTTCAGTGGCCAATAACTACTATTTTTTGTTAGTTTGCTTTGCTTTTAATTGTTTCTGAGACAGGGTTTTGTGAGAACCAAAGTTATGTTTTAAGTTTTAATAACTGTGCCTAAGAGATCCATAAAATATAAAACACCTCTAACCTGTAAGCCCCTTACTGATACTTCCAAGGACATATACTTCCTGAAAAGCTGGAGGCTGTTGTTCATGTAAGATAACAAGCCACACGGTTACCCTCCCTTAAATAAATTTGACCCAACTGCATGGGATGTGCTTGATCACATCTTGGCAGGAGGTACATAGGCAGGAAATACGTTAGGATGTATGCTTGCCCCTGACTGGACCTGGTGGGAAATAGAGAGGCTTATGGGATTGCCTTTATAAGTCTCTGCAAAATGTGATTAATTGACATACTTCCTGGGAATTCAGGAATGGACCTGGCCAGAGTCCATCATCCTGGCCAGTATTTAAGTAAAGCTTCAGGTTTGCCTCAAAATTGTGATAGTGGTCTTATTCTCGCCTGGTAGGGTTAACATGTTCAAGTAGCACAGACTGGCCTGGAAGTCTATAGATAGCAGAGGATGACCTTGAACTTCTAATCTTCCTGCTTTTATCTGTTAGTGCTGGGATTACTGGTTTATATGGAACTGGGAATTGAACCCAGGGCTTCATGTATGCCACTCTCTATCTACACTAGTTTTAGAGTAAATGTACAACATTGGTAGGAAAGGGGGTCCCAGCTCCTCCTCCTCTTCTTTCTCTCCCTCCTCCTCCTTTTCTGGGCTGGAAATGGAGCCCAGGGTCTTGAGCCTGCTAGGCAAACAATATACCACCAAGCTGTGTATCCAACTACAAGATTTTCAACTTGCCTTTTACTACCTAAAGTCTTTAAATTTACCAGTGTAAGTGAAAATTAGTAGATTTGTGTGTGTGTGTGTGTGTGTGTGTGTGTGTGTGTGTGTGAGAGAGAGAGAGAGAGAGAGAGAGAGAGAGAGAGAGAGAGAGAGAGAGAGAGCACCTTTGACTGGTAAAAGACAATAAATAGACACGACAATGGTCAGGCTCCTTGGATCTTTGCCAGTATCATATTTCTCTTTGATGACAGAATAACCCAGTCTCCAAATGCATCATTTCACGGTGTGACTGAAGCACAGGAATTCAGAAGCTGAATATAGGAGTTTGGATCGTGGTGGCTCCGATTCTTTCTAGAAGCATTTGAATTCAAGAAACTTCTTGGCAGCAGTTTCTTATCTGAGGAATGGAGATGCCTTTGATGGGTGGATTAAAGGAGCCACTCTGACCGAGAGCCAAAAAGGAACGGGGTGAAGTCTGCTCCTTTCAGCCCTGTGCTAATACGTGGATCTGACTCTCAAAAATGCCTCGAATCCTGATTCTTATGCCCAGTAGAAGGAATGCCAGCTCCTAGCTGTCCCTGGCTTAGTCACACTGATGTACTGTGTTGTGATGAGTCTCCAAACCTCACTGGAATCAGGCTCATTTCTCTGGGATGAAGAAATAACAATCCATGCCCCTAAAATACAGGGTTAGACAAGAGCTGATTTAGATGCCTAACTACATAGCTACCAGAGGAGGACCGCTCAGAGCCATACACACCTTCAGTAAATACAGTCTCCCCACAGGACAGTGTGTCCCAAAATGTGAATTGTGGGTGGGAAAAGAGCTGCAGAATGACATGAAAGGGCTGGAGAGATGGTTAAGGGTACTTGCTGCTCTTGCAGAGGGCCAGAGTTCAGTTCCCAGAACCCATATCACGTAGCTCACAGACAGCTGAAACTCTAGTTCCAGGGGATCCAGCACCTTCTTCTGGCCTCCTTGTGTACCTGGTACACATACACCTATTCAAGAATATACACATGAAATAAAATAAATCTGTAGAGCTAGCAAGATGGCTCAGTGGGTAAGGCACTTGCCACACACACACACACACAGATACACACAGATACACACACAGAGAGATACACACACACAGATACACACACACAGAGATACACACACACAGATACACACACACAGATACACACAGAGATATACACACACACACAGATACACACACACACAGATACACACACACAGAGATACACACACACATATACACACACACTCAGAGAGAGAGAGAGAGAGAGAGAGAGAGAGAAAGGCAGAGAGATGGAGAGACAGACAGAGAGAATAAAATGTAGTAATTACTTTTTCCTTTTTTAAAAAGATTTATTTTTATGTGTATTGGTGTTTTGCCTGTATGTATGTCTGTGTGAGGGTACCATATCTCTTGGAACTGGAGTTACAGATAGTTGTGAGCTGCCATGTGGGTGCTGGAAATTGAACCCCAGTTCCCTAAATGCTCTTAACTGCTGAGCCATCTCGCCAACCCTCTTTTTTTTTTTTTTAAAGACAGGGTTTCTGTGTAGCCCTGGCTGTCCCGGAATTTGCTCTGTAGATCAGGCTGGCCTCGAATTTACAGAGATTTGTCTGCCACAGCTTCCCAGGTTCTGGTATTAAAGGCCTGAACCACTGTGCCTATTAGCATTTGTTGGTGCATGTATTTATGTGTTTAAATTCTATCTGTCCAGCTGAATCATCAGGAAACTGTATTCTCTCTAGTCTAGAATCTCAGACTTAATACTGCAGTATTTGAAACTCCTAGGCCAGAATCCAAACCATAGATACATAATGTGTGTGTGTGTGTGTGTGTGTGTGTGTGTGTGTGTGTGTGTGTGTGTGTGTTGGTGTGTGTTTGTGTGGGGGTATATGCTAGTGAGTGCAGAAACCTAGGAAGGTCAGATCCTCTGGTCCTGGAGTCATAGGCATTTGTGAGCTGCCTGCCCTGAGTGATGGGAACTGAACTTGGGTCCTCTGAAAGAGTAGCAAGCTCTCTTAACCACAGAGCCATCCCTCCAGGCTCCAAATCCTGGATAATTTTAGATAAAATCTTGGGTTTAGCTAAGGATTAGCTTGTGGAGGCTATAATACCAACAGCAGAGAGATCCAAAAGCAAAACCAAGCAATTCTTTTATGCTCTACAACAGCGGCTCTCAACCTTCCTAATGCTGCAACCCTTTAATACCTGTGGTGGTGACCCCCAACCATCAGAGTGTTTTTGTTGCTACTTCATAACCGTAATTTTGCTACTGTTAAGAATTGTAATGTAAATACGTGTGTTTTCCGATGGTCTTAGGTGACTTCTATGAAATGAACATTAGGCCCTAGAGGGGTCTTGACCCACGTGTGGAGAACTACTACTCTACACTACACAGACTCAGTGAAGTGTGGTCCTTAGGCCTCTAATCCCAGCACTCAGGAGGGGAGAGCAGTTGTCAAATTCAAGTGTCTCTTTGGGTTTAACTACGTAGCAAAACTATGTCTACACACACACACACACACACACACACACACACACACACACACACACTCACACAGAGTGTCACACCAATACATGTTTTCCAAGCTGGTCATGGGGAGCACAGAGTCAAAAAAAATTATGGCAATCTTTTTCATTTTTGAGATTTAATCACGATAGGAAATAACACATTTCAGAATTGTGTTTGTTCAATTCATGTGTGTGTGTGTGTGTGTGTGTGTGCATGTGAGTGTGAAGTGGTGGTGGTGAGTTGGGCTGAATGACAGTTGTACAATTTATTAGCATTCTCTCTCTTCCTCTTTTTCTTTTTGGCTTTTCGAGACAGGGTTTCTTTGTGTAACAGCCCTGGCTGTCCTGGAACTCGCTTTGTAGACCAAGCTGGGTTTAAACTCAGAGATCCACCTGCCTCTGCCTCCTGAGTGCTGGGATCAAAGGCGTGTGCCACCACGCCCAGCCTCTTCCTCTTTTTCTTTCTTGAGTTGGGGTCTTGCTGTAGCCTTGGCAGACCCCGAACTCACTCTACACCAGGATGGCCTCAAACTCACAGAGATCAACCTGCCTTTGTCTCCTGAGTACTGGAATTAAAGGTGTGCGTCACTACACCTGACAATTACCTTTTATCTTGTTTTATCTTGGTCTCAGCTGGTTGTTGCTTTAAGTAAATATCACATCCTCATAGTTACAGGAAACAGATATGTTCTCCCCCCCCCCCGCCCCGCCCCCAATCAAGAGAGAAGAATCCTAGAACTCTGGCCCAGTTTAGAACCTGTTTAGTGATTTGTCTGAAACTTCAGAGACTTACATAAGTTGTTGAGGTTTGGATGTGAAGTGTCCCCCAGACTCCTGTGTTGAAGACTTGGTTCCCACCTAATGGTACTATTTTAGGAGGCTGTGGAAACCTGAGGAGGGAAGGCCTATTTGGAGGAAGTAGGTCAGTGGAGGAGTGCCTCTAAAGGTCATTTCTGGGCTCTCTGTCTTCTTCACACTCTGTTTCCTGCTCACAGTGAGGTGATAAACCTCCCCCTCACCCCCCACTCCATGCTCCTGCTGCCATGACATTTTGGCCTAAGTGCATGGGGCACACCAGCCAAGGACTGACCTTCTAAAACTGAGCGCCAAAATATGTGTCCCTTGAAGTTATTCCAGAAGGTATTTGCAGATGATGAAGATGAAGGACTAGCCCATGGACGCATATGTCCTTAAGTATCTCTACATTTTGGTGAACAAAGAGGCACCACAGTTGTGACCTGCTTATAGCCACGGCATCAGGGAATGCGGCCACCTTGTTTATGACCGGGCGGTCAACCTGAGTCATGTGTGCTGGCACCTGCCTATAATCTCAGAATTGGAGGCAGGGGGAGGAGAAGTGTGAGTTCGAGGCCACTCCCAGGCTACTGTATAGCTGATTAAAGGCCAACAGGGACCACAGAAGGAGACTGTCTCAAAGGGAAGGAAGGAAGGAAGGAAAAGAGTAAGGACAGAAGGCCTGGTTTGTAGCTCAAGGGCCTGGGTCCAGTCTCCCCCAAAAGTTGGCCTAACTACATGTCCTGGTTGCTTCTCTGTTGCAGTGATAAAACACTGATCAAAAACAACTTGGGGAGGAAGGAGTTTTTGGCTTACAAGTTACAGTCCATCATGGAGAAAGGCTGCAGGAACTGTGGGCAGGGACCTGGAGACAGAACCCAAAGCAGAAACTGTGGAGGCGTGCTACATACTGGCTTGCTCGGGGCGGGGCTTTTTCCCCCTTTATAAAACTCAGAACCACTGCCCAGGGGTGGCACCACCCACAGTGGGCTGGGCCCTCTCGCATTAATCATTAATCAAGAAAATGCCTGTAGACATGCCCCTAGGCCAAATCTGATGGAGGCAGCCCCTCAGGTGAGGTTCCCTATTTCCAGTTGACTGTAGTTTGGGTTAAACTGGCACAAAGTAACCAGCACAGCACACAGCTACACAGAGCAACGTTTCTTTCAGAATATCCAGAATGAGATTCCAGTGAATGGATTTGTTTTGGGGGGTGTTTTGTTTTGTTTGAGACGAGACAGGGTTTCTCTGTGTAGTTTTGGTGCCTGTCCTGTATCTCGTTCTGTAGACCAGGTTGGCCTCGAACTCACAGAGATCCGCCTGGCTCTGCCTCCTAAGTGCTGGGATTAATGGCATGCGCCACCACCGCCCAGCTCCAGTGAATGGATTTGTAGTGGTTGAGTTTTTTATTTTTTATTTTTTAAATTTTATGTGTGTAAGTATTTTCCTGAGTGTATGTGTGTAGATCACAGGTGTGCAGTGCCTGAGGGTGTGAGAAGAGATCCCTTAGAACTGGAGTTATGGATAGTTGTGAGCCACCATGCATGTGGGTGCTGGGAATCGAACCCACACCATCGGGAACAACAGCTAGTGCTCTTAAGCACTGAGACACCTCTCTAGGCCCTAGCTTTGACTTTTTAATTCACTTCAGAACCCCTGCCCATGGAATGGTGTTGCCCAAATTTAGGGTGAGTCTTCCTACCTCAGTCAACCAGATCTAGAAACTCTCTCACAGACACAGCAAAAAGTTTGTCTTCTAGATGGTTCTAGATCCTGCTAAGTTGACAATATTAACCTTCCCAATGAGCAATGCTCTACCAATGTCATGAATGGTAAATGGTTAATTAATGAAGTCGTTATGCAGCACAGTGCCCACCATGTAACATGGACCCTACAAATATTAGATGCAATCACCAAGGAGTACACTAATGATGATTGGTTTTCATTTCACTTTTGCTTGCTAAGGAAATGTTCAAGGCATCTATTGGCAGGTCACATAAAGTATAAGTTAAACAATTCTGTGAAAAAAATCATTCAAATAATTTACAAGCAGACACAAAGAGTTATTTTGCATGAATTTCTACGGTATAGTGTATGTAGTTGCGAGTCATAACACAGAAAAAAAAAAATTCAACCACCAGGCAGTGGTGGGGTTTGAGGCCAGCCTGAGCTACAGAGTGAGTTCTAGGGCAGCCAGGATTACTCAGAGAAACCCTGTCAAAAAAAAAAAAAAACAAAACAAAAAAAAAAAAAAAAAACCAAAAAAACTCAGTGTGATTTCTATACAAGGATGACTCACAAATTCCAGAAGCTTTCCGGATTCTTTGAAGATAAAGATCTCGTGTAACCAGGGTGGCCTCATACTTGCTACGTGGTAGCAAAATGGCCTTAAATTCTTGATTCTTCTTATCTCCTCTTCCCAAGTGCCAGGCATTCAGGCATACACGAGGCATGCACGTCATACTAGGTTTATGAGGTGCTGGGAATGGAATCCATCCCTCCTGTACACTAAACAAACACCCTGCCAACTGAGCTATACCCTCCCACTTTGGCCCTGCAAATTTGTGAAACATTCCATATGTTTTGTATGAAAACTCAAAAAAAATTTTTTTTTTTTAAACTGGGGAGATAGCCAGAGGTGAAAATGCTTGCCATATAAACCCTCGAAACTGAGTTTGGATCCTCAGAGCCCAGGCAGCAGGCAGTAGATTACAGTTTACTCCTCTGTCATCCCATCAGTCCTACAGAAAGGTGGGAGTTAGGAATAGGAAAGTCCGGAAGTTACAGGGACAGCCAGCCTGGTGTACACAGCACTGAGTCCTGAGACCCACATCCTAGGATGTCCTCTGACCTCCACATGCACTCTATGGCATGCAAGAGCCTGCACTTAAACACATGTACATTCAGAGAAAAACATGCATATGCCTCACACACGCTAAATAAATAAATAAATAAATAAATAAATAAATAAATAAATAAATAAATAAATAAATAGTGAATAAAGTACAAAATTAGGAGGAAATGATGTTCTGATGTTCTGTTTGCATTTCTTCCCTCTCACTCTGTTCAGCAGCAAGGATGATTGCCTTGTATGATGTCCCTGATAGATGTGTTGTCAGAAAGTAGCCAAGTATTTTTTAAAAAAGAGGGGAGATGATTTATGTCTATTAATCATTTCACAATTTGAAGAATTCCTCCCTTGGGCAAAGGGACAAGGGACACGCACTACGCGTTGTCATTTGAGATCTAAAGAGTTAGGCTAGGCAGCTCTCTCTTCCAAAAGTGTCTGAGAAAATCTAAGCCTTTACCTTTTGGAAGGAGTTCCCCCGCGAGGGGTACTAAAATGCAATCATGTCATCTGTAGATGGTATTTAAATTGACATGTGGGCACACCCACACCATGATCCTCTATGGTAAGGATAGCTAGTTGCTTCCTAGAGACTAAGACTTCTGGGGAAGGGCAGATTCTGATGTGGAAGTGATATCGGCCAGCTCTTCCGGTGGCCTGACTTTAGGGACCAGTGAGAACAGAGGCAGCCTCACTCCTCACCTCTGAGGCCTCCCCACTCTCCTCCATCAATTGAGACTTTTCTTTTCTTTTTTTTCCCGAGACAGGGTTTCTCTGTGTAGTTTTGGTGCCTGTCCTGGATCCCGCTTTGTAGACCAGGCTGGCCTCGAACTCACAGAGCTCCGCCTGGCTCTGCCTCCTGAGTGCTGGGATTAAAGGCGTGTGCCACCACCGCCCGGCTGAGGCTTTTTCTAAAGGCAGCTGGCTCACGTCCTGAGAAACGGAGCACCACTCTGCTAATTTCCATCGTATCTCTTTCATCACTGCAAGCTCCAGTTCCCGGGGCACCAAGAAGCCGGGGACGCAAGCTACATGGAGTTGAGCACCTGAAACGTCTAATTTGCTTTCTTCGGTTCGGTCTCACGTGCATTATACAATCCTCTGCTTGTCCTTTGCAGAGGGCCTCCGACTTGGAAACCGCCTGCCAGCGGCCCATTGAGGAGGGCTCACGCCCCTGAGCGAATGGGCCCGGACGGTCACGTCCCTTGCGTCGGGAGGCGGGGCCTGCTGTCCTGACGTCACGCACCACACCCCGCCTCCCAGATATTACCAGTGGCGCCCGCCATCTTGTCTCAGTGTCTGGCTTGGCGACGAAGCTGCTGGTTGGCCGTGTGGGTCCGTGAGTGGAAGGCGCGCCGGCTCTTTTGTCTGAGTGTCCCCCGGTGGCTCGGTCCCAGGCCGTCCAGTGATTTTCCCCCCTGGGCAGTCCGCAGAAGCCTCAGTGGCCGCCCGTGCTCTCACTCTCGGCTTAGTCCCCGCGCCGGGAAGGACCGAAGCCCGCATCACGCCCCTCTGCCCCCGCCGAGTCCCTTCTCTGTCGCCGCGTCCGAATCGGGTTCCCGGAATCAGAAGGTGCCCCATAGATGGCCAGCTTTCCCCCGAGGGTCAACGAGAAAGAGATCGGTGAGGCCCAGGGTGGAGGGGGAGCGCGGGGATGGCGGGCATGCTGCGAAGGGGCTGGCGCCGGGGGTTTGGGGGGCCCGGGGAGCAGCGGGGGTGGGGTGGGGGGTCCGGGAGCGGCGGGGAGTCCGATGCCGAGGCCCAGGAGAAGCGGGGAGAGGCGAGGACCCGCGCCGATTGGCGGGAGGAAGCGGCCCCACGATGGGCGTCGGCCGGGAGTGAATGGACCCGCGCCTCCGAGCGGGCCTCCGAGGTCCCGTGAGGCGGGGCTGGCCGCTCGCCGCCCCGTGTACCCCAGAGTCACCGTCACAGCTCGGCGCGGGTCCGAGATCCTGGGGTTCCCTCAGCGTGGGGCTTGGGTGTCGAGTCAGCCGGGAGGGCTACCAGCGTGGGCAGTGTGGCCTGACTTAGGATCTCTTAAGTCGGTGATGAAAAAACAGTGAACTTTTGTGTTTTGAGGCGCCCTCGGAGGAGGAGCCGCTCCTGTATGTCAGGCACTGTAGGGAGAAAGGAGCCTGTAGAGGAGCCAGCGGCGTGGCAAACCTTTCTATTTTAAAGGATGGCCTTATGAAAGGGAAGGGTTCAAAGGAGGAACTGTTTTACCTGTATACACCCGGAGGAGCAGTGTGGATAGGCGGAGTGACGGAGGAGGATGAGATCTGGGAAAGGGCTAGCCCTGTCACGGGCCAAGCTCTAAAAAGACAGGACAATGGGAGTGGAAGGGTGTGGGCCAGACCTGCCCAGTGGCCTCCTTTAAAGCACTTCGCATCATTTAAATCCTCTCAAAGGAGCCACCTTTGAGGCCTTTGAATGGGATTGAGTGAAATCATTAGAGGACACTGAACATCACTTTTTTTTTTTTTAAGTTGGTCCAGCACTTGAGGCAGAGGCAGGCAGATGTGTGAGTGTGTGTGTGTGTGTGTGTGTGTGTGTGTGTGTGTGTGTGTGTG